TTTCTAAAGACTAATTGGGAGGCATCCGTGCCTTTCGGGTAATGCTTCCTAGTGTTAGAAAAATCTCCTTTTGCTATTGTGTCATTTTTCTATTGGCATGTCATTGGTGTAGTCTAATTAGGTATCATAAGCCTTTTTTTCCTTTCTTGTACCTCTCATCTCAAACAAATTATAGATTAGCCTTCTTAGTTGTTAATATTTTAACTTCAATATTTTTTTTTTATATTTCTACATTTTGATCTTGACCTTTTTATAGAAATTTTATTTATTTTCAATTCATCTTTTAATATCAATTTATCAAATATTATATTCTTCAATGTTATCCTCATTCTTTAAATTTTTTTTCTTGTTTTGTTTTTTTGTAAAAGTTTTAGTGGTTTTCAATTTTATCCTTTAATTCAAAATTATAATATTATATTTTTCAATTTTTCTCTCATTATTTTGATTTCTATTTTTTTCTTGTTACTTTTGTAAAAGTTATTATTTTTTCAATTTCACCTTTAAATGACAACATTGTTTTTATTTTTATGTCTATTATGATCCTCATTCTTTTCAATTTTTCTTTTTCCTTTTACTAAATCAATTTTTTTAATTTCACCATTCAATTAAATATAAAATGTATTTTTTATTTTAATTTTGATCCTTATTTTTTAATTGTTTTTTTTAAAAACCTTTTATATAATTAAGAATTTTTATTAATTTCATCCTTCAATATTTAATTGGTTAGGAATTGGACTTTATGATTTTTCTAGATTAGGTGCTTTAGGTCTAATGATTCAAGTCAGAGGTTTGAAAAGTTAACATAATTTATTTTTTAAAAAGGCTTGATAATTTTTTTTTATTAAGTTATTTCAATCATATAATTTGAATCATGAGTTTGGTAAGATAATTAGCATGGTTATAGGTTTTCCATGAGTGATTTTTTATGTCTGTTTTTAACCTTATTTCAACATTTAAACATCATTTTATACACAAAAAATAGTCTAGTCTCATAGCAAAGTGCAAGCACTCAGTCTAGTAGTAATATAACAAGGACACCCTAGTAGGATAATTTGCAAAAAAAAAAAAAATTATATAAGCAATTAAGAAAAAAACTAAAAGAGAAGGAGAAAACTTTGTTTACCTAGATATGGTTCATTGTTGACATGAATAGTATTTTCTCCTTTTTGGCTTTAAAAAAAATTATTAGTCTCTAGCCTTTTTGGCTTTAAAAAAAATTATTAGTGAAATGTTTAAGGGTAAAATAGTCTCTACATTAGGATAATTTTGGTGTTCTAAGATAAATTAGGGATATGATAGGTATTTTTCATTTTAAATTTATAATATATTTACATCACTACCCTTAAAAGAAATAAATTTTTAAGCTTCTATTGATGGTTACTTTTGTATTTTCATATAAAAAATACACAGTAAAATAACCTATCTACCCTTAGAATAATAATAATAATAAAATAGCTGATGATGGGGGGTGACACAACCAAAAGATCGATGTCTTCTTCTAAGTGTAGGAGTGTCGAAATAATAAATAACTCGGTAAGACCGGGATCAAACCATAGAGAGGTTAATTGTATAAATTATAAACAACAATAATATAACAACAACAACAATAACAATAGTAATAATAATAATAATAATAAAGAAAAGAAGAAGAAGAAGTTGATGAGAACTTTAAGATGAAAGATTAATGTGAGGATCAAACAATGATAAAAATAAATATCAAGGTTAGAAGATCCATTAATGATATTTCAAACAAGTATAATATAAACTCTTTTTATTAGTCAATTGAAAACCACACACAGAAAATTTCAATCGGATTATAAGTTGTTAACAAGATTATATTAGTTATCTTATTCGAATAATGCTAATACTTGTAAATATTGTCAGGTATTCATGATTATAACTTATATTAACAACAAATCAAGTTCCTTTTATAGCACAAGTGTCAATTATACCATACGGTTCAGCCATGAAAGTACCAAATATTTGTTATACCAAGTGTTATATAACATAAATCTACACTAACCATTTAACAAGCAAAGTATTAAAAGTGAACGAGATAATAAATACAAAATATATTAGTATTAATATTAAAGTCCAAATTGACTTTACACTACACTTATTCTTACAACATTAGTGTAATCTTTTCACCATGACATAATAAACTTAACTAAACATAAT